GCTGGTCCACCAACGAACGCACTTCAGCGCCAAATGGCTACGACTGGCTCCGGCTGGCAGCTTGTTTGCGGTTCTTGTTAGTCGCTCTCCCAGTCCGCGGGAAAAGTTTAAATTCCCCCGCCGCCCAGCAGCGTGTGGAAAGTTCTTTCGGGCGGGACGGATCTGCCGCGTATCTTGTTGTGGCTTCAGTTTTAGTTTTAGTTTTAGTTTCCGCTAAACTGTCTGTGTCTGCCAGCCAAAAAGGTAACTGAATGAAACGTCGCTAATGACTGAATAAACATTTGTCCTTCTGCCCCGATGTTTGGCCCAGGAACAGGACCAAGACGAGTATGAGTACTGCTGAGTACTGCTGCTCGCTTCAGTGGCACGTGACAAAAGTTTTGCACAACTTTTGGTTTATAATTAAATGTGAATGGTTTGCAGATGATTGTGATTTGATTGCTGCAGGGAGAACAGATTGGAGAACTTTCCATTGGGCTGTGCAGGGGGCCAGGCATAAAGCGATTAGCCACTGAGAATCTTAATTAATCTGACTTGAGTTTTGATTAATTTCCCTTTATTTAACTTTTATTCAGTCCCCTGAGGGCGTCTGCCCCTCGCCAGAGTCTGAATCCACTGATGACCTCTGCAAATAGTGACCCTTGCCCACACAAATTCCTTTTTGTCCTCCAATTAGTGGACTCTCTCTCTCTCTCTCGCTCTCTCCCTCTCTGTTTGTGCTCTGCCGTTGCTTCCCTTTTCATATGCTAATTTCTTGTTACACTTTTTACTTAGCGAACTTGGTGAATTTTTCCGTGAAATTCTCAAGAATTTTCCTCACCTTACAACTTTTTTCGTTCGGCTAACAATGAAAATATGCCCCAAAGTACTTCGTGTTGGGCGCAAAGTTTCCGCATTTAAAATTAAGCTAACAAGCCGAAATCGTTTCTGGCACCCGCCCCAAAGGCAGGCAGCGGCAGCCAGCCCCCAAAAGGGAGCAAAGAGGGCTGGCACATTCCTCCGCAGGACATTCCGGCTAATGCCAATTATTGTAACAATATCAAGCGGGCGGCGGGGGGGACAAGCAGAACATCAAAAGTGGTCAGAGGACAGAGCGGATGGCAAAGGAAATGCCCAAAATTGCTGCAAAAATTGCGAGCAACAATTTGCTGCTGCGGATATCTATTAACGAGCACATAAATGGCTGTCAGGATAGCTACATATACATATATGTATATATATATATGCTTGTGGGATGTCCTGTACCCTGCTGGTGCTGCTGCTGCTGCTGCATCTAGATGCTAGATTGAGTAACTGACTTGGCAGGCAGGCAGTCAGGCAGGCCTCGACAGCAGCTCCCCAATTTGTTTTCCCTTTTTTTTTTCTTTTTGGAGCCTCGACAACAATCAGTGGCAATGGCAGTGGCAGCATAGCACAAAAAGGGAATCACTTTGGATTGTCGTACACTCGCAAAAATAAAGATACATTCACAGGGGAACATCAATTTATGGAAAAATATCCAATGGAGAAGGGAACTAAAATAAATATTTAAAAAATATAAAAATATACTTTTAAATGTCCTAAGCTGAATAATCATTAAAAAATTATTTTTTCCATGGTGTAGTTGTCCTTGTCGCTTCCAGGGCAGGGCCTGTGCTTTATGAGGCTTTATCCTGGCTGCAAGATGGGTGTGAGTGTGGGTGGGGGTTTTCTATGGGTCGCTGTGGGTCTGTGGAGAGTGTCAAAAAACTTAAACGCCTGTTGACACACACGCGAAACACTTGAGCGAAGGACATGCGGAGGAGCAGGAGCAGCAGCAGCAGCAAGAGCAGGAGCGGATTCTTTGGTTTGTGGCTGCCGCTTGTAACCGCCAAAAACATTTTGCTAACGATTTATGTCCGTTGCATGCTGGCTTCTCTCCGTCCTTCCTCCTCCTCCTTCGTGTCCTCCATGTCCTGGCAGATAAATTCCTGCTACTTTTTCAGTCGAATAGAGTCTCGGGTGCGCTTCTGTTTCTGCTGCATCGTGCGCTTAATGGCGCATCGCCATCATGCCACCATCATATTGGGTTTCAGGACAGCAGCAGCAGCAGGCAATGCGGGGGCAGGGCCAGTCGATGGCTTCTGCTTTAACCAGACAGACAGCGCCACTCGGCGGCAATGGCTCCAAGCAATTAGTTTAGTTTTACGTTGAAGATTTGCCATCGAGGTTAAATGTGGGCTCCCCACACTGCCCCAGCCCCTGCCCCTGCCGCTGGTGCTGCTGCTGCCCGGCTGCTATGCAGTCTAAGTGGAAACGATGATGTCGGGGGATTAGTGGATGCTGCTCCAAGTGGCCTGAGGTTGCAGCGGGGCCGGGGGAGCGAATGTGGGCATCCTTTGTGCATTTGCTGAGAGGACTCCAAACCACGTTAAGTGGATATTGGAACTAATGATGAAAGGGGAATGCTGTCTATCAATATCCTTGCCCCCCCCCTCCGCTCTGTGTCTCTGTGGTTGAGTGGTGGAGGGGATGAAGTTCAGAAGTGTTCTCCCACCTCAAAAGTGGAGATATCGAAACTAATATCGAAACGGGAAATTCCATTCCCATCTTTGCCTGGAGAATCCCTCTCCTCTCATCTTCGGAGCACATTTTGTCTCCTACTTTCTGCTGTATTTGCTGGCTTAACCTTTTTTCTGCTGGGACAACTTCTAAAAGTTTTAATTAAACCAACTGTAAAGCTTTTACTGCTGCTGGTCAGCGCTGTCAACATATGCAAGGACATGCCGGCCGGGATAGCACAGGACACAGTGGACACAGCTCTACATGTGCTCCACACAAGCTCCGACACTCCCTACTCGCCGCTCTCTCGTATTAAATCTGAGCTGTTTTACAACAATTTTTGCCATTAACACATTTGGCCAAAAGTGTCACCTCCTTCCCTTGAGTAGAGTGGAGTGGAGTGCAGTGGGTCCTGGAGCTTAAAGCTTCTCTAAAAACACACACAAACACCGACAGAGAGCCCGCAGGCCATGGAGGAGCAACTTTTCGTTGAGACAGCAGATTGGGTTAAAGCCTAAAATCCTTTAGCATCCTGACAGTTGTGAAAAAAGGGGGACAGGGGCGATGGAGATGCAAACAAGCTACCGGACAGGAAGGACAACGGACAACGGAGAACGGACATTGGACATTGGACAATGGACACAGGACCTGTGTCAAAGTTATCCAGCGAAGCGACAAAAAATGATGTATCAAACTGGACAGGACTCTCTGTGCTCCATGTATCCGTGGCTGAGAAGGGGGAGGAGGGGCCTTGGGGTCTGGGGGTCCTTTTTTCGTATTTAAAGTTACACCTACAACAGCATCAGCTGAGCATCAGTGTCCAGCTCTCAGCGCTCAGCTTCCAGTTGCCTGGCTTTGGGGTGGTGCCGTGTCGTGTTTCGTCCCGAGTCGTTTCACTGGGTTTCGGTCTTCCCATCCGCCCATTTGTGGATGGCCCATGTCAAGACCCTCCTTTGAATGTGCTGCCCTTCCGCTTCCCCTCCATCAGCTGCTGCTCTAATGCTTTCCTTTGCTGTAAGCCACTTTGTTTCTTTTTGCGGCTTTTTATTTGAGTTTTGTATTAGTTTTTGATTGTCTCTCGATGAGTTTCGGGGCTAGCTTTGCTTTTTATGAGAATGTCCCATCGCATCGTATTTAGGGAACCACAAAGAAATTCCGAAATTCGAGTTGATTTCTGCACAACACAATGTTAACTTATCGCTGGTGATATTATTTTATAGCATGCGATAAGTGCACTTGCTTTAACAGAGCTAACATTATTTTAGCATGGGTTTGTGTCCTGGCTGTGTCATGTTATGGCAATGTTAGCTAACATCGTGCATGCCCTGTTGTTTAGTTTACAGAACTCGGTACCTAACAGAATGCCGCTAAATGTTAACAGTGGAATTCATGGCATGATTATTTCAATCCCCAAAGGGAATTCAAAGGATTTTACCACAATTTCAAAGAAAAAACTCTGTCCCAACTGTTTTTATAAAGATTAGATTTAAAGATTTACCCCTTCACCCCTTTATTGTAAATATTTGCTTACCCTCTATTGTATTAATTTGTATCTCATGGTCTCCCAAAGTTGCCCTTTATCTCCATCTTTTCATTAATGTTAGCCCCCGAAAAGGTGCCTTAATGTTGGGCCAAAGTGTAAACAGCAACAACTAATTGTCGGAGGACACGCAAAATGCTCCTTTGTCTGCTTCCTGACGCGCCTTTATTTCGGGGGAATATTTATTATGGGGTACGCAGCCAAGAAACAAATTTAGCCGGGAAAATGTGAGGAAAAATGAAGGAAATTTAATAAATTACAGCACATAAGCCGGTTGAAACGGGGATGGAAAAAGATGGATAGCCATAGAAAAAGAGAGAGAGCGTTGAAGGGGAGTAAAAGAGAGCGGGATACATTTATCAGCTGTTTTAGTTTTTCCGGTTTGTGCCATTTGCATTTCGGGATTCGCATTTTTCGGCCATGGGGACGCGCCCTTTTTAAGCCTTATTTTTCTTTATTTTTGGCAGCCAGAGCCAGACACCGTTGTAAACAAATGGTTTTTCCTCCCTTCTGTGGGTGCAAGTATGGGGGTGGGATGGGGCAGTGTCAGCAGAGTTTATGGCAGCCTTTTAGGCGGCACTGTTAACTCTCTCCCTCTCTGTCTGTCTCTGACTTTCTTTCTATTGATTTGTTATGCATGCTCTGCGCAGTCGCCGCTCTCGTTCTCTGTCGCTCCGCAGGCTGCAAGGTGCGGAAAAGCATGGACCGGGACCGTACAGGGTGCAGCATCTGTGAGTTGCTGGCACCCTGCTGCACAACTCAACAAATTAGCACACAACAAACGGAGAGCGGGAGAGTGAGAGAGCGTGTGAGCGGCAGGGCGAGTGGTGCAGCTTTCACCCACACACACGCAGCCTTACTCTCCCGCGCGCTCACACGCACGTGTGCACCGCTCTCCGGCTCTCTGGCGCTCTCTCACAGCCGCTTTGTTTCTTTGCAGGGGTGGCATGTGGATAAATTTCAGCCGCCATGGATCCCAGTGCTCTACAAAACATGGATCGGGACGCATTAAAGAAGCAAATCGAGAATATGAAATATCAGGCCTCCATGGAGCGCTGGCCGTTGTCTAAATCCATTGCAGAGTGAGTAAAATAATTATTATTTACCAAATAAATATATTTTTAGATGCAAAGTGAAATGAAAGTGAAAAAGAAACAAAGAAAAATATTGCGGGCAAACTCGGGGAAATACTCTGCCCAGAAAACAATTCAGTTCAGTGCTTTGTGATGTGATGTGTCCTGTCCCCTGTTTTCATTAACAATTTCCCCCAAATGTACGCAGCCCACACCTCAGGTGAAGGGAGAGTGTCACTGTGCCGCTCCATCAACATTTTGCTTGCTTGCTAAATATTTACATAAATATGAAGTTGCTTTCGGTTGTTTTGCTGCTGCCCGGTGGTTGTTCCCTTTGTTTTCCTTCTTCGAAAAAGAGTCTCCAGGAGTCACTTCCTCTTCATACACACACACACACACACAAATATACTCCAATACCGCCACTGTATCTGTGTGTTCATGCTTCCTCCCTCTGTCTGTGTGTGTGTGTGCCTGTGTGTGAATGTTTGTGTAGACAGCGGCTAGACATGCGGATCCGTTCGTTCGGTTTTCCCCCTCATTCTCTGTGCTTCTTCCCCAGCAAAAAGAGGAAAAGCGTCAAGTGAAATTCTCATTTTGCTACAAGAAATTACTCAGGAAGCAAATTGTGAATGTTTTATACTCAGAGAGAAATAGAGAGAGCAGCTGGAGCAGCAGCAGCACCAGCAGCAGAGAGAAAGAGTCAGAGCCGTCGGTAAATTGGGTTTTGCCAAATTCCTATCCTGTCAATTAATTCTGAAGGTTTTCCTTCCATTCAGGAGCAAAGCTCCGCCTTCATTAGCAATTCAATGAAACGAAACGAAAGCGGAATAATGGACAGAGAGCTAGTCCTTTGGAGAAGTTCGGTGAAGAAATAAACATTAATGCATTCCGAGTATTATTTTAAAACTTCTCGGTCCTCCCAACAGAACTTTCCTGTTGCAGTTGTTTTGGGAACTTTGCTCAATGGTTTCCCTGCAGCTTACAAGGGAGGAAGTGGGCTAGAAGCGAAAGTCTTCCTTCCAGTTTCAATTTCCTGTTAAAACTTTCCGTATTCATTTCCGCAGATACTTTTACCAGTATTTTTGGCAGTCCCTAAAACTTGCAAAACGTACGCCAATGATGAGGGTCTTCTTTATGAAATATAGATTCATCCAAAGAACTTTTCATAATTAACCAACTTTTACTGAAAATAGTTTTAATTTCACCAAGATTGGTGTTCATTCAGTGAAAGGTTCTTTTGAGTAGAGAACAAATCCAAAGGCTGAAAATTCCATTTTATTCTCTGTACTCGTCTTCTCCAGGTAGTCCCTCATTTATTCTTTCTCGGAAACTTTTAAAACTCTTAGAAAATGCATTTAAAAATGCTCTTGGAATTATCTTTCTTCGCAAGCAACTTCAAAGATTCTTTTTAGTTAAGTTTCCACATAAACTGCAATGACTATCATCTGACTAAATGCTTGCCATTACCTTCATGCCTGCCACTCCCACTCCCACTCCTACTTTTACATCCCACTTTATGTGTGGGGAAGATTCACTCCACATCCATCATCCAGGTAGTTCTCCTGCTCTACTCGGAGGAGTCCTGCCTGCAGTCCTACTTGTGCAATGTTTTATTCAGAATGAGAGCATAAAACCTTTCACATAAATCACAATTAATGCAGTTCCCCCGTCCTCCGTCCTCTGACTCTGCTTGTGGCTCTGCTGCTGGCTCCGTCTCTAATGGCCAACTTTTAATTTAGCTTTCGACCCAAAGGCAAACATTTATCCGTCGCTCACTCGCTCACTCTCTCCTTCCTCGGATTCCGTTTCTAATGTCATTTTTTAAATAAATACTCCACAGAGAAGCGGAAAAGAGAAAGAGTCACCAGAGCCAGAGACAGAGAGGGACAGAGAGAGAGACATAGAGAGACAGAGAGGCGAGACCATCGCAGAGACATCCTCTGATTTAGTTAAACATTTAGTCAGCAGCTAATTATGAATAATTAATTGGCATGGCACTCTGTGTAGCTGCTTTCGCTCACTCTCTCCCTCTCTATCTCTCTTTCTCCCTCTCTGGTGTTGGCTCTCATCTGTGACTTAATGTGGCTCCAAATGGGCTACAAATTGTGTGCGTTGCTGGCCGCCGGCAACGGCATTCATAAATAATTTAACACCAGACTTTAGAGTCGGTTATCGCCTCCCCTTTGCCCTCTAGGCCAACTCCTCCCCCGTTCCGCAATTCACACCAATTTCCCCCTCCCCTCTAGCCATTCTCTGTAAGCCACTGATTTGCCTGATATTCAGCCGACGCTCTGTTTATCAATTTGCAACACGTTGAAATGAGTCTCGACTTGGCTTCCAGCTCTTAGCTCTCTCTCTCTCTCTCTGGAAATCTCTTTGCATATTTCTTTTTACTCACATAAGTCTTCTCAATCTCTTACTTCCTTTCGCAGTCTCTGCGAGTCTCCATCGCTAATGAGTCACGTCATCTTGGCATCTTTTTTTCCGAAGGTGTTAATTACAAATGTGCTGGAGAGTATTAGAGATGCTGCAGAAACAGCTAGGGATGGAGACAGAATATCATTTGTCATTCGGCATACAAAAGTGCAGGAATATTTAGCTTAAATTATTTTAAAATTGCATAGCAAAAAGTAGAACATCTAAGTCAAAGTTTGGAGAAAAGGGAACATTTCGTAGCTCATATTGCAATCAAGAACAGACGCTATTAATGGTGATTAAATGAGTAAATATTTAAAACAAAGCGCACTCATAAATTTCCAAATCTGTTGCACCTTTTTTGCAATGCGAATTCCAATTAAATAATCATCTCGTTGCTCGTTGGCCTGAAACCGAATGCGATACCCGGCCGATCGCAAAAAGCCAAATCTAATAAAATTTCCAATTATTAAACTGAAAACCTCAAAATCCGTTGAAAAATCCAATTAGAACCCCCGAACCGACCACCCACCTCCCCCTGCTGGCTGCAATAAATTAAACTTTTGATTATTGCACACAAAAAATGTCGTGTTAAATTGGCATCAGAAATGTGTGGCATGTGTGGCTCAGGCTCAAATGGGTCTTTTGGAGGGGGGAGGACATACATAAAAGGCCCCAAAATAATGGTATACCGAATCCAATAGCTAAATGAAACCAATTTGATGTCATGGGTTTTATTTTGTGGCAGTAGGATATCAACTCAATTTCACGAAACATCAAACATTTGTCACTTAATCAGGACACAAAACGAGGCAAATTAGACAGAAATCAGTCAGGGACACACACACAGCACATACGACAGAGAGAAAGAGAGAGAGAGAAAGAGAGAGAGCGAGAGGAGTAGATACAGAAATAGATAGCCAGCCTGCCTGCCACTGCCTTGGACAGTCGTTGAAACTTTCGAAAAATCAAAGTCAATTAAATTCTGAGAGGCATATCGAAGAGCGATCCATGATTGATGGGCCCCAATTGCACCCGTCCGACCGCAAAGTGGGGCCCCAAAAACGGACCCAAAGGACAGCGACACAGACAGGCAGAGGGACAGGGGACAAGGGACAGCCATAGTGGCAGGGGCAGAATGTACTAGTTAAGTGCAGCAAACACCGCACATTACGGCGATTTGTTGCAGGCGACGTAACGACGAAATGGAGCCCAAAACCAACACAAAGATATCCCACTCCTGGCTGGTCCTGTCTCGCTTCCACCAACCCATGATTGATTGACGTCCTTCCATGATGTCCTCCATGTGTGCGGGTTTGTGGGTGTCTGTGTGTGGGTGTACCTATCCTATCTGTGCCTGCGAGTGTGGCAGACCACAGAAACCGTCGTGCGTGACAAGCTCTCCCTTTTCGGTCCGTTCCGTTCTGTTTCGTCCACGAACACGTCCACGTCCACGTCCTGGACTGCTGCCCCGCCTCGCTGGGCAATCGGGTCCGGGTGCCGTATACAAAATGCTGCATGCCTCGTGGCGCATACATCGCACCTTAATGTTGTGGCAAGGGGCTTAAAACTTTCCACACAACTCCGAGCACGCTCAGGTGGAGCAAACTTTGCCCGAGAATGAATTTCTCTCCACTCTCCACTCGAAACTCCTTTCGTTGCACACTTTGTGGCATGTTGCATATAAATCTCGCCTGCCTCTTGCCTTTTAATTTATTTTGTTGCCCCTTATTCGCTTTCCCCTTCCTCTCTCTCTTTCTCTCTCTCTGTGTATGTGCCACAAAATATGGGAATCGCTTTGGCATTTCAAGCAGAAAATTATGTTACTTTTGTGGCTGCTGCTGGTGCTGCTGCCGTCTGGATTCCTTTCTTGTTTCGTACAGTATTTTCTTTATGGCATTTCATATTTTACTGCCACTAGGCGCCTGCCTGCGGTTTATTATGCGCTGCATCCTGCGGAAGGGGTGAGAGCATCCAGCGGGACGGGTCTCTCTCTCTCTCTCTCTCTCTCTCTCTTTGTTGCATTTGGTTTTGGTTATGTTTTTTGGTTTTTTGGTTTCAGGGTCGTGTATTTATCCGGGCTACATCCATCAAACATCCACTCGCGCTGGGTTTATTCCCAATTAAATCAACAGATTTATATCCATACATTTATGCACAATATTTACTCGGCAGCTATGGCCAATCAATTTTTGGATTGCACATAAATCAACTGAAATTTCCATGCGCTTTTTAGTGTTTTCCCCGTTGTGAGCTTTCGATTGTTCTCCTTTTTTGATGGCTGGCATAAATTCTGTGATGTGATGTTCCTCCCGATAAGAAATGATGCTCTGCTCTGCTTTAAATGGCTTGTGAATTTTTCTCCATGGAAAAGTATCCCTTTAAGTTTGCCCATTGAGGATATTGCTGGCTCATTCTCCTGCCTTCCTGCTGTCCTGCTCAATGGCCAAAAGTTTGGCAAGTCACTGGCTGGAGGAGCAGCAGCTGCAGCAGCAGAGCGATCTGTTTTCTTCCAGTTTCCATTCTGGCTTTTCAGCTTTTCAGCTTTTTGGCCAGTTGCCCGGCCAATGCGAACGGGAACGTGAACGTGAACG